AATGGCTACAAAGTTGTTGTAGCCAGGCCTGAACAGCTGACCCCCTTCCTCTCCTCGTCTGGCCAAAAGAAACTCACTGAACAGGGCTTTAAACTTCTACCTTCCCCTGAGACAAAGGCTAAATGCACGGTCGTGGCTAAAAAGATCGACAAGACAATCCTTCCACGATCGTTCGAGTCTGTCCAGGCGGAAGTCTCGGCCAAATACGACGTCACTGTCGTTGATGTTTACAAACCCCCTGAGTCACGTATCGTTAAGATACGTTGCTCTGCGCCCGAGGAAGCTCAGAAACTCTTAACTCGTGGCATTGTGAACAAAACAACACCCTCATACCTAACAACAACCCTAAAATACAAACAATACTACACATAGCTTTAATAGCTGCCAAGCACAAGGTTCAGAAATTCGCAAACATACTCCCTACACAACTACAGAAAAACGATTTCCCCAGTATTGTGATTCCTGAGGAAATCTTTGAAGACGAAAAGCTATATATACCAGAGTATCACACACAAACAAACACAGACACCGAGGCTAGAGTGGGGCCCACCACATCTTCACAGCCCTCTACCTCACACACACACATGTACTCCCACAACCACAACCACAACGCAAACCAAGAGAAACTTCACAAGGAAAAACTACAAATAACACAAACGAACACAAATGCAAACTTCCTTCAACACTAAACATGCACCAGAAAAAGACAAGAAAGACCCTCTGCTCACGGAAACCCCGGAGCCTCCCGCTCCTCGTCGTCATCACGACGACACCATCATCGGGGACTCCAGCAGCGAGGATAGCCTCCACATCGACCTCGGTCCTGAGGTCGTAGAGGGGGCTACCGCGCTGCCTGTTCCCCCTGGGGACTCATTCCCTATCCTCCTCATCAAGGGAGACCTCGGGAGACATGGCAGCGACGGAAATTGGTCCGCCGATTCCCGAGAATGTCACGTCTCCCTCTCCCAGGAGTCCCTCCCGGACCCCGAAGAGACCTAGTTTGGGGCTCGTCCTCGACCGCGTTTCCGTGAGCAGCTAACGCCACGAAAAGTAGGTCGCAGTCATGTCGACATACCCTAAGTGGCATGCTGACAATCGTTCAAGCGAATTTTTAACGACTTCCTAGATCGGGAAAGTCCTGACATTGTTCTTTTAAACTCTACCTCTATCACTAATTCCTATGTTATCAAACACTTCGGCAACACGTCAAGACAATCACGAAACGGCTGGTGTGTAGGGCCCTGCATTCTCGTAAAATCCACCTTCCATTTCGAATTCATTTCACCTCCATTCATGCATCCCGACTTCATTAAGCTATTCACCCAGCAGGGCCCTATAATGATTGCTACTGCCTATATCAGACCTCACTCAAATTTGCCAATTCATGATTTTAACAAACTTTTTAATTATAATAAACTCCCAGTCTTCTTTGCTGGGGATATTAACGCACGACACACATCATTTAACCACACATCCAACAACGCACACGGTAGACAGGTCTTGACTATTTTCGAAACAAAAAGACGGCATTACATTGGACCCTACTTCCACACTTCATTCACACCAAAAGGGAAGGGCCGCCCTGATCTCGTTTTCGGGAATAGAGCGGCACTCCCCTACCACACACACATACAACCTGGCCCGAACTTCGGTTCTGACCACATACCCGTCATAATAAAACTTTATACTACACCTATACAAAACAAAGAAACAACATCCTTCAGGTACAAAAATGCAGACTGGGACGACTTTAAATCATGCCTTGCCAGCCAAAATTTCAATTTTAATCTTGAAAGAGAAAATATTCTCGAAATAGATAGGCATTGGCATCATCGCGTGGATATCAGCAGCAATGCGCCGCGCCATTCCGCGTGAGTGTTACAAGATCCGCAAATCATTCCATCCAAGCGTCTCCTGACCTGCTACAGGAATCGTTTTCTGGAAAATCTAAATCACTTGCATCGAGTTCGGTGGGACCTAACTATCCTCAGATACCATGTCATAAGTAGTTTTGATAATGACCACAAAATTCACTGGCAAAATTTAATCAAACAAACTGAATCTATGAGAGTTCGCATTCCACGGGAATTTTGGCAATCAATTAAACAATTAAATGGTAGTAATTTTCCCCCCTTCACTCACCTCCTCAAGGACAATAATCAAATTTCAAATCCTCTGGAGGTTATCAAAATTTTTCATGATCACTGGTTAACTGTTTTCTATCCTCATGAACCCCACCCTCTTTTTAATGAGCACCTGGAGCCAAGACCACAGGATAGAAACAGAACCAGAGCAGATTATCCACCTGGATAATCTGGACGACACATGCGAGCTCCGTGCAACCAACTTGCTGGAGGAGGTAAAACAAATAATAATGAGGTTTCCTCAAAAGGCTCCGGGCTCCTCTTAGATCTGATGTGACGTACGCATTCACTTTCCTGACAATGTTTTACGATAAGGATAAGTCCAATATGCGAAGCTGAGCCTCGCCCTGGCTATGAGGGGAGCCCACCCTGTGTCAACTAATGTCGACTCGCTAACAGTGTGTCAGCTGGTGCTGGCTCGGCTTTTGTCCTTACCCGCTGTGGTGTACCCAGTAACCCCCAGGCGACAATTGCAACTTCTCACGTCTGAGCTTGGCGCGAACCGGCGACCCCTCGGATGAGAAGCCGACACGTTGCCACTGTACTAGCCTGGAGGCTAACGTTTTACGATGATTGCGATTTGGGAAGTTCTATCTTCGCCCGGGCCTTTGGCTATGGCCCGGCCTGTGTCAGCTTTTTATGGCTGTCTCATTTTGTTCTCTGACACTCGGCGCTTACGTGGCGGTGGGATTGCCAGCAGGCGCTCCTGCTGCCATGGTGTAAGTGAATCGCAAAGTCTCTTTACCAGCACGGCGGTTTTTGTCGGCTGTCCCTGTCTCAGGAAGTGTGTGTTCACAATTCTCTAAGTAGTGTATAAGTGTGGCGTTCGCCTCGCTGCAATGTATGCAACACCTCTCTTCATGGACAATGGTCTCAATCACTGCCATGTACAGTGGAAACCTAGGCGCATTCTGTGAAGAATGACTTCGGTACCTCTGTTGTTTATTTCAGAGAGTGCCAGTGGTTCATAACCTGTTGCTTCTGAATACCATCTGGCCGAGGGGGAGGATCTTGTTGCTTCTCTGTGAAGCTGCAGGAGGAAGGATTTGGCGACACCAGTACAGTTCCCCCAAAGTGATTTTCGGCTTGGCTTAATGATCATGGGATTAGGAGGTATACCCTGCCAGAGACGGTTAGTCTGTCAGCAAGCTCATTCCCTCTGATGCCAATATGGCTAGGGACCCAGTTAATGATAATTCTACCTCGAGCCAGTATTCTTTGGCCTATAGTCAGTATTGTGGTCTGGAGGTAGATGTTGTCTTTGGGTGAGATGTACTGAAGACACTCAATGGCTGACCTGGAGTCACTATGTATGACTATGTGTCCTTCTCTTAGGGACATGTGGGATAGGGCTCCCATGATCGCAACTGCCTCTGCCTGTAGCGAGGAGGCGTTGTCGGTTACCCTCATGGACTGCATGGCATCCCCTGCTGCAGAGCCAGCGCCTGCAGTGTGGTTCAAGGGATCGACCGATCCATCCGTGTAGTATGTTCTACTACCCGGAGGGGTGATGGCTGCAATGACCCTGTAGGTTTCTGCCTTAAGGCCAGGTGTGGGGTATTCACTCTTTTTCAGTGATAATCTCATTACTGAGAACTCTATCGATGTTTGTGCTCACGGCGGGGCTTCGACAAAGTTAGGGTGGGGGGAGTCCATTCCCTTGGCGAGAAGCTGATCTTTGAGCTCATAGCTTATCAACACCCTGGCTGTGTGGGACAGCCAGAAGTTGTTTGCGAAGAGCTTGTTGTCTTGTTCTAAGCGCCTGACTAGTTTTTGTCTTCGGCTTGTGTTCCTTGGAGCCTGGGTGACCTTTAAAAAGATCGACTTGTGAGTCCAGGGGGTAAAGGTTGGCCTCCATCAGGAGGTTGGGGACCTTTGTCCACCTCGGGACACTCAGAATGATCCTGGCAGCTTCATTTTGGACTGTCTCCAATTTTTCTCTGTACTTTTTCTTTATGCCAATTAGAGCAACTAAGACATAGTTCACAATGGGCCTGACAGCATGTACATAGAAGGATCTTAGTACTTTGTGTCTGGCTCCTATGTGTCTCCCAGACATTGCTCTCATGACATACAGTCTTGCTTTAGTTCGGTCAACCAGGAACTCGGTCTCCTTGAAGGAGAGGGTCCGGTCTACCCATACCCCAAGGTATTGGAAGACCAGGACCCATTCCAAGTCTGGATTTTCAGACTTGTGCCTTGAACTTGCAGTCTCAGAGCCATGGCTTTGGATTTGGCTGCATAGATCTTTAATCCTGTCCTACAATATTCCTCAGACCCAAGGTCCAGACAACACTGGGTTTTACTCAGACATTGTGCCCCAATGGAGGTAATAGCAAGATTGTCTGCATAGGAGATGATCTTGCACCCCACTGGGAGGTTTGTGTTGAGGATGCAGGACATTAAGGTGTTAAATAGGGTTGGAATGAGAACCCCACCTTATGGTGTCCCATTTTCAAGTGGCATGTGCTGCGATAGGTGACCCTGGAATTTTACTCTGGCTGTTCTGTTCCTGAAGTAGTCACCTATCCAAGCCAAGAGCTTTCCTCTGATTCCTTTCTGGATCAGGCTCTCCTGAATGGCAAGAGGACTTGCTAATTCGAAGGCCCTCTCCAGGTCAAGGAATACTACCACAGATGGGCTTGTGTTGATTGTGCTTAAGAGCGTGGCTATGTAGTGCGCTGTGCTCATTCCCCTGGTGAACCCGGGGAGGTATTCATGTGGGGGTCCCATTTTCCATAGGAGCCGGTTTAGTACCCTCCTCTCGGCCGTCTTAGCCAAACAGCTGAGGAGAGAGATGGGGGCGGTACTTCCCTGGTTCCTTTGGTTTTGGGATGGGAACTATGGTAGCCCTCTATGGTAGAACTTGTGTTGATTGTGCTTAAGAGCGTGGCTATGTAGTGCGCTGTGCTCATTCCCTGGTGAACCCGGGGAGGTATTCATGTGGGGGTCCCATTTTCCATAGGAGCCGGTTTAGTACCCTCCTCGGCCGTCTAGCCAAACAGCTGAGGAGAGAGATGGGGCGGTACTTCCCTGGTTCCTTTGGTTTTGGGTGGGAACTATTACTCTTACCTCTCTGTGGTAGAGTGGAAGATTCCCAGGACTTGTTGGTGAGTTGCAAGAGTGCAAGTTCACCTGGTCCTAGGCAGGAGATAATGGGATATGTGATCCCATCAGAGCCCGGGGCTGTGTTAGAACTGAATTTGTAGACTTTTCTTAGTTCCCTCAGAGAAAAGATAACATCTGAGTTATTGGGTTTGGCTGCCCTTTCTCTGATCTGAGTAAGTCTGTCTGGATGTAGGCTTTCTTTTTTTGCCCTCAGCTCAGCTGGCAGACTGTTGCTGCTAGTTCTCGCAGAGAACTCGTGCACTAGTCTGTTTGCCTCTGCTTGAGGGTCGTAGTGCGTGCGTCTTGGGGCTGAGCAGCTGGTAGGTCGCCTGACCCGATGCCATAGCTCTGAAAGGGTGGTTTGGTGGTCGAAAGACTCACACCATTCCAGCCACTTTTCCTGCCTGACTCTGTTGGCAGTTTCCTTGGCATCCCTGACAGCCTCCCTCAGCAGTGCAAGGTTGTCAGGGGTTCTTTGCCTTCGGAATAGTTTTCGGCACATGTTTACCCTGTGGTTGACCTCTCTGATCTCGTCGATAAAGTACCAGGCGTCCTTGTGACACCTGGACCCAGACCGAGTTTTGGGTATGGTCAGTGAGGCTGCTTGGTTAATGGCTTCTATTAGTCTAATTTCGAGCACTTCCACATTTTCGGCTTGAGTCGTTACCTGTAGGCAATCGAGGTGAAATTCCTTGCCCAGGAGAACAACGCGTTGTTCCCCTGCGTGCGCGCGTGTGTGTGTGTGCATGTGTTTATGTATGTGTATATATATACATATATATATACATTCACATACACACAGATATATATATATATACATATGTACATATACGTATATATATATATATATATATATATATATATATATATATATATATACATATACATATATACATATATATACATATATACACATATATACATATATATACATATACATATGTATATACATATATATAAACATATATATACATATATATGTATATATACATATATATACACTTATACACACACACACATAGGTGTGTGGTGTTGGTGGGTCTGTGTCTGTGCTTGAGTTTGTGTGTTCATGTGTGTATGTAAACTATGTATCAAACACATTTTCAATACGCCTTTCCTAAGGAATACCTATTATAAAATTAGTCTTACTAGTCTTAGGCAAGGTTTTCGTATTGTTGCGACATCGAGCAAATCCGCATCAGTGAATATCTAAATTCAACATTTCCTGCTAGTCTCTGTTTCGTAAGTGAAGCCGCTGTCCATTTGTATATTTTCCTCTCGGGGTAAGATAAAAAAGTATTGAGAAATCCAGGAGTAAGCTTGTGAGTAAGAAGAAAGTCACAGAGAGATGACTTTTATCTGGCACAAGATGTATTAGATAACTCTAGACTAACCTTCCGCTTACGTACTTTAGAGTAGTTTCCGCTTGTGAGTGTTCTTTGATTAGAAATTATTTTAAAAAACGTATGTGTTTTTTTACCGTGGATTCGTGTAGTTTTCTGTACTGATAGTTATTTCTGATACCAATCCTTTATTTCAGGTCATGACAACAACTACAGAAGATGACACGGCTCGACCGCCTCTCCTTCAGCATGAGTAAGATATATGCTATTTTCGTAGTATATGGTATATGTTACATTCTTATAATTGTTGCATGATAGTTTGACTTAGAATATACCCAACATTCTTCTATGTATTATTTTGTAAGTTTATTCATCTACCTGCTTACATATCTGTATACTTATGTGTAAGTTTATGTATGTACATATCTAACTGCCATCCATCAATTTATAAAACAGAGAATCAGGCGCGACCCCGACTCAGGAGACAGCTGAGTCGGATCTCTTGTACACAGTGGAAGACGTTCCTCCCTGGTATATGTCCATCTTCTTTGGATTTCAGGTGAGGCAAGGAAGCTGCGATTCACCACATTCACTGTACATCAGTTCATATACAATATATTGTCTAAATATATTAATTTCGTGTGCATACAAACATATATACACGTATCTATATGTGTGTGTGTATGCCACAATAGCACACTTTTTTGGTGGGTTTAAAGCGAGCCATCCTGGCATATGCCTGGTATATGCCAGTTTATATTGACTAAATGTTATGGCGTTTATTACATTTCTATTTACAATATTTTTCTCTGGTATTCATACATAATAATACATATAGGCTTCGGAATTGCCTCATTTCTTTATTTTTCCCATTTCATATTCTTCGTCATTTTCCTCATCCTTGC